AACAGATCCGAGAGTCGTGGCACACCACAGCCGCTCGACGGCGTGGCGCGAACCAAGACTAATTCAAATATAAGTTAATTAACTTAGTTAAGTTAGTGAAATAGCGTAAGTTATTTCACTTACCCTTTTCCGGGTCCGGAACTGCTGTTGGGCACCTCGTTTGCCCTCTTGATGGTATCTGTACCTGTTTTAGCTCTTATTTCAACAACTGCCACTAAATGAAATAACATAATGTAACTAACTACTTTAGTTATTTTATTTACTAAAATAGATTATTTCACTTCGGACAAACGGGCTTCGGACAAACGGGGCGCCCCCTCAGGATGAGTCAGGATCATGTGTGTCTAAAATTTTCTCTAAAATATGAATCAAACAACAATCATGGTAGCAGTATAAAAAATTGAGGTACAATGATTAAGATATCCTCTTTTTCACAACCTGATAGTTTAGAAGTACTACAAGGTTGGTAGTCTCATTCTCAACTTTGGATGAGAACAAATTTTATGTAAAAGTGATGTACAGTGACAGATGAGCTAAAAGCAAACACAACCAGCACAAAGAGAAGAAAACAAAGAGCAAGAAAAACAATATACAAATATTGGGTGACTTAATTTTCACTTGTTTGCCAGAAAATAAGGTCACTTATTGAATTCCCAAATAAAACAAACTTGGTAAAGCAAGATAAATGACATGAAAAATCCCAACATTTTCAAAAGACACAAAGGTATTGCAATAGCTCTTAAATAAAATCATGTGTATGGGAAAAACTAACCCAGAAAAAAATTACTCAACTTAACTTATTAAGTGTAATTGAGCAACATCAATTTGAAATCAAACACTTATTCTGTTGCATAGTAGTTCTCCCACATGGTATGCAATTTCAATGATGTTAGTGGATGACTGCTCAGTTAGTATGTCAAACCAGCTTTTAACATGAACCCGGATGTAATGTTACGTGATCATTAAAAATCCCGCTTACAACTTAAAACCCGACACATCATAGCTCCCGGCCGTTCCTTCGAAACTGTACGTTATAAGCGGGTTTAGCTGTAAAGCTGGAGGTTGTGACAGTAAGGCTATATCATCAGTGATAACTGTTAAACTGGCATATTTGGCCACTCCCAGAGCAGTTCTTTGCTGAAAAACTTTTTCCATAATTCTTGCAATCATATGTAGGATATCTCTAAAAGAAGGACACCAAAAATACCTCAGCAAACAACTCCAACTCTAGCAATAAATCCCCATACCAAGATTAAAATGAGTACAAGTACACAAGAACAAAAATGAAAAAAAAAAAAGTGTAAACACTTGAGGAGGGTACTCAATCACAGAACAAGACAAAAAGCGGGATCTCTGGGCAGACTATTCTATCTTACAGCATGGCGAAAACACACGCTCCCCCACAGGATGGATATCCTAGGAATACAAACTACAAGGACACTCTGAATATGAAATCTTTCCAGCAGTAGATGACCCTACCATATTCACCTGATTGTAAGACCCCCTCCCCACGTATAAGAACCCCATACTTTTGAGGACCCAAATTCAGGGGGACAAAATAGGTTCAATGTGGAAAAGGTTAGCTGGGCATATAAGGACCCACCTTACTTCAGAGACGATTTTTCAGGGCGGAAAAGGGGGTTTTATATTCAGGTGAATACATTAAGTCTAAACATATTGCAGAAGGATGCAGCCATTACTATTCTTTACCTTGGAGATTTGAAATTACAGATTATAAACAAATTTAATAATTAGGAATACCTAAAAAGTTACAGCGGCAGTGTTCTGAAACACCAGCCATATTGATTACACAAATACATTCATTCATTGCTTCATAAATTACAGATTATCATTATGTTTCTGAAGGTTAGAATGTTCTTTAGGTAAGTTTTGATTTCCAAACAGTAAAGACCATGAATCTTCACAAACATACAAATTCACATTAAATATCACAGAATACGCATACAATGCTTAAGTGTATATTAGTTGAATGGCATGTGACATTAACTGCAAGTAGTTCATGACTGATTTGATGCATCTGAAATATCTGAAAATGGGTATGTTACCTGGTATAAATTGGTAACAAACACATTTTAAGAAAATATCTTGACAGAATCACCTTTACTTTGGACCATAGCAACCAATATCAAGGCTTTAAACTTAAGATCACAATAGTAGTGATAATAATGATAATAGAATGAGGCCCTAAATGTTGCATAATATGTGAAGACTAACTTATACCTAAGAATGTACATTAATACAAACACAATATATTATAACACTTGTCCTATACATGATTCATCAAATTTTTAAAACAGTCCAAAAGTATTTATGCAAAAAGAACAACAAAATAGAATTAATTTCTCAATTGAGAACAAAAAGCGTTAGATACAGGATAATAAAAAGAAAAGGGGAAAAAATGGCTACGCTTTCTTGGCAAATTCATGTGCATTAAAATCAGAGGTAACTGAAAAATTGATTGGGCAACATCACTACACACTGGTACCTTTCATTAAGCCAATAGAGACATTAAAAAATAGCTGAACATAATTTTATAATTCACCTTAACTCTCACACTGACAAAAAATAGACATCAAATATACCACCATACAAATTCCCAAACAAATTGTAAAACACTTAAGACCAAATTCACAAATGAAATTCAGAAATTTTAAAAGAACACATGCATATTTGATGTGCTCTGATATTGCATGCGCATGGGTAACACTAAACTGCACGCTTACTTACTACGCATCATCTCTCGTTTCTTTAGTTGCTTCAGAGCACATTTAGCAGCAGTACATTTGGCAATCCGATAGTTTCTTCCAATACCTTTGAAAGTACCTTTACTAAACACCTCCACTGTGACACGCACTCTGCGTCCGTCAGCTAATTTTTCTGGTTTGCTGAAATACAAACAATGTAATTATAGTCAAAGATAAGCAATAGTTGGGGGGGGACATATATACAATCCCACCTTGAATGGCACAAAGAGAATATTAAGGACTTACCCAAATTTAGCTGTTTCTGGTTCCATTTCAAGTAGCTCCCGAATAGGAGATTTTGGAACATTAGTACTAAATTGTTCTAAAGGGAAAGAAAAGTTAAGATTAGATTCTGAAACAAATTCGTACAATTTACAAAGTTTTCAGCACTTACCAATTTCTGGGCGCATCATACGATAGTACACTCTCCAAACAGCATCCAAGGACATTCCACTATCCAAGAAAATTGCTCCAGCCACTGACTCAAAGACATCACCTAGGGCTTTTGGGACCTCTACATCTTCTGCCTCTTCACATTCTTCTTCCTCAATCAAGTAGTACTGGGGATGACATGACAAATTAGAGAATGACATTATTGTTTTCAACAAACTAATTTTTCAAAAACATACCTCTTCACTTATTGCATGTCCATTTTCCTCCTGTATTCTGACAAACCTATCAATAACCTCATTTAACCCAGGGGATAGATGGCGAAAGAATTGGTGGAAGCCAAATTTCACAGCAAGTGATGCAAATATTGTGTTGTTAACAAGGGCTGAGCGTAGATCAGTGAGAGCACCAGGTGAATGTTGTCGCCAATCCTCATACAGGTGTCTAGTGATAAGATAGTCTTACCGTGGAAGAAAACATATTGTTAAAACATAAGTAAGCTGAAAAAGTTTAAAAGATTTAACCAGCAATAAACAAACAAAATTCATACCCAGAACAGCATCTCCAAGAAATTCAAGACGTTGGTAACAGTCTGTTAATTGGTTTGGTGAATATGATGCATGTGTAAGAGCTTGCAAGAGGTAGCTTCTGTCTTTGAACCTGTAATGAATTTTCTGCTCAAACTTCTCAAAACCATCCAATAGAATTTCAAGCTGGCCTTCTGGATTTGTCACATGTCTCAGAAGAGGAGAATTAGGAGGTTGGAGGGAACCATACTGAATCTGTGAAAAAGCAAATGGTAGATAATTTAAAAAAAATTAAGGTAGTAATACTGATAGGAGAAAAATAAGGATCTGCATGAACCTTAACATTGCCATCCAATCCGGACAATTCCTCTTGAGGCAACACCTTTATTCCCAGCCATGCCATGAATAGCAGAGCCCCTCGGGGACCACATGAAATGAGATAAGCACCTATGGGAATATTTGGGAATTACAAAGAATTCATTTTTGTTATGGACAAGTCTAAAATGTTAATTTGGCCAAATTAAGTCCATACCGATAAGTGCTTCCACACAGTCAGCTATACTCTTGTCTGGTATGCTGTGCTGAGTAATGAGATTGTACGGAATGAAGCACGGCATGGAGTCCAGAAGCACAAGAGGGTCTGTGTCTGAAGGTGTATTATCAGTGTTTAACTCTTTTTGTTCTTCACCAGCCTCCCCTTCTATTGCCTTCAGATTCTTCTCAATCTCTTTTTGCTGTTGCAAAAGCTTCAACTGCTGCTGCTGCTGGAATTGAACAAGTTTCTTGTGCTGCAGAGCGGCAGATAGGGGGACATCATCATCATCAGAGTCTGTCTCTGCACTGATATTGGCAAGTTTTAGAGTTTCCTTCCTTTCATTCACTTTTTCTTGAATTTCCTCTAAGGTCAAGTTCCTGTAAAATCAATAGTTTGTTTCAAGATATAAGTATGAGTATGAATGGAGAATCATTCTGGACATTTGCTGAGAGGGTAGTAGAGACACTTTACCGTAATGAAGGTAGGTCAGCTGAATTCCAATGGCATGCAGGCAATCCCGCTTGGATGAGGGCCTTCTCCAAATCTCTCGGTACATAGTAACATGGTGGCAACCAGTTGTCATGAGGTTCAAATTTTGTGGCAATCATACTCTCTCCAAACACTTTCCGCCTTCCTAACCGATATAAGTTTAAGTTGCTGACCTGAAAAATATGTCAACAATCAATATTTTGAACCAGTAGGCGGTGTATGTTGCAGCAGTTCAGCTCGTATGCATTTAGATAGATTTGTAAAAGAAAAATACCTGCTTTGACCGTAGGTGGCTCAGTTTCCCTTCATGGATACAATCATAAGTACAATACAAGAAGGTTGTAATGGCATACTTTAAAAACGAGTCTCCTATGGTTTCAAGCCGCTCCAAGTTAATTCCATCATTCGCATTGGACATGGTGAGAGCCTTAATCAGAAGAAGGAGTGAGTAGTAGTTACCGGTAGGACATGACCAGGGGAAAGAAAAAGACAAATAAATATCAGAAACGCACTTGCAGAATAATGGCAGGAGAAGGTCCAGGGTGTCCATCCAGGTCAGGCTGAGCATCAAAACTAAACTTGAAACCAAGGTCATCTTCAGACAAAGATGGCATATTTTGAGCTCTTTCAGCAACAGCTGAAGAGCCAGAACTACATATAGGGTTATTGTCTGGAGGAGCAAAGAGAGGAGATGTGAAAATGGCTATTTTAAATTTATAAGTAGACAAACCAACAGAGAACTAGAAAGACTCAACTCACCACTCCTATTATTGTTGAACTCTGAAATGTACTTCAATGCCCTCAGCTTGGTTTCATCTACATCAGATTGTATAATAGCAGCCTGGTCACCGGGAGCTCTCACCAGAATATATGGATTATCACTCAAAATAAGGCGCCCATCTGTTTGGATGACTTGAGTATTGATTTTAATGCTCTCCTCAAAGCCACAACAGACCTCCTGTCTGTCGGGTTCCCTGGAAAGTAAATATATACAAGACTGAACATAACATCACTCACGTTTAAATGTAATCACAATATATATATATATATTTTTTTTTTTATTAAATTAAAGAAGGAAAGAATAACGAGCATAAGTAACAGAGACCTCTGTGCACCAATGCAGTATTTCCGACACCATTTATTACTTAAAAATGAGATAGAATTGTAGAATTGACTAGCAGTAGTGTAAGTGGCGGGGGTACAGTACTGGGAAGTGGTGTGGCTAGCTTAAAATCATTCACCCTGAGGACCTTACCGGCTTCTGTACCAGTCCCAAGGAGGCTCCATGGGTGCCTGGAACACGGACAGCCTCGAGCCGCCCTCCTTGCCGGCGTCCTCCACCGCCTCGGCGGTGTTGTCCGGCTTGTACTCGATGCGCAGCCCGCCGCCACCCGCACCGCAGTCTGAGCCGCTGTCCTCCTCCTCCTCGTCATCGTCGTCCGTCAGGTCGCTGTAGGAGTCAGAGTCCGGTGCGGCACAGGGCTCCGGCTGGAAGTTGGCGGAGGTTGCCCTACCAGGACCTACCCCCCAGGGTGAGGCGGAAGGACCTCCAGCCCCAGGATGGCGCGGGCCGCTGCGCAGACCACCGCCAGTGCCAGGCTCCGCCTACAGAATCAAGCAGATTGTTGTCGGTTCCCATCTTTCTTATTTAATATGAAATATATTATAGATTACAGAAATGGCTATTTAAAAAAACAAAATAGTATAAACTTGATTCCACAGTCATGCGGGTAAAACTTCACAAAGTACTGTAATTTCTTTTGGAACAAAAATTAAAAACAAAGGTGGAAAATTGAATAAAATTACACAGTAAAGGCTAGTGGTGGATGTTCAAGCAGTTATTTGATGCTCCTAGCAGAAGTGGTAAAATCCAAGCAAGGTAAGGTAATGATATTGAGTGGAAAGTTACCCAAATAAATTTATAATGACCATCTAGAGAAATAAAACACTTCCATTGTTTTCTACTGACTCCCCAATGTTTCAATTTCGAACATCACCAAGTATGAAAGTAAAAACATATTCAAGACCCTCTTTTAATGATAACCCAAACATCTATCAGATAGTACAGTATTCTAATACTCTAAGGACACTCACCTGGTGCGAGGTGGGCGAGCCCCAGCCTGTGCCTGGTGCAGCTCCTGTAGGACCACCTCCAGAACCCCAGCCACCTCCCATGTCTGGAATATTTGGTAGCATTGTCACATTTCCAGGCAAGGCTGCATTGGGGTCGAAAAAGTCGATGTCTGGGTCAGGGCCAGGGGCAGGGTGTGCAGCCATCTCATTGGACCAAGTTCCTATATCAATCCAAGGGCTGTCTGTCTTCTTTTTATCTTCAGTCCCTTCAGAGGGTACTCTATTGGGCTGTGGAAGCTTTTCATTGGCAATTTCAGCATCTGGAGGAGACTTCACTGGGCACTCCTGACTATTTTCTGTGTCAGTGTCTTTGTCTTTAAGAGATTCTTCTTTTGCTTTAACCTCCCGTGAGCGTTTTAAGACATCTGCTAGAGTCCAGCCAAAGTTTAAAGGCTTCCAGTAAAAGTCTAAAAACAACAACAAAAACAACAGTAGCACTTTCAGATTTGTACAAAGAGAAAAATTGAGAGAAAATTTTACAGGTTGAGAATTGGATTTATACCTTGAGGCAACTCGAGAGAGCCCAAACCAATGCTGGTTGCTACAACACGTCGCAGTTGATCAGCCAAAAGAAGAGCATTAATTCTGTACAATATACAAGGCAGACACACAGCTTTACGCCAGAGTGATGCAGGAAATGGGTGAACTGTACACAATTCAGGAACTAAAATTTGTTTCTGCTCCAAATTCTCACGCTTAGCTCGTTTGGTTTCTTCACTGCTTGTTGGCAAGGCAACACCCTTCCTATTCACATACCTAAAAAAAAAATTATGTGAGAGACTATAGACAAAACATCTAGACATCAAAAAAAGATACATATAGCCCTTACCTAGGAGTCAAGAAATTTAACCTTGCTGATGTATGATCAACATCCAACAATGGCTGCTCTCGATTCTGGATATTTAGACTGTATTTTTTAAAGTAATAATCCTCAAATGATTTATAGTTTTCAGAACTTGGGAATGAGGACTTAGGACTCAGCTGGTAGCATATTTCGGCCACATAAAAGTACTGAAAACAGACATCAAAATTTAAAAGGGAAAACTTTTAATGGTTAATAAGATAGACAAGTCATCATTATCCTATCCCACCTGTGGTTGATCCTGATTCCGATACCAAGGCATCACAACTGCATCTTGATACTTGCATGCATCAAACTTAAAATCTTTGCGTTCACATTCAGCAACTGGCTTAGGACTTAAGTTCCTTTTATCATAAATGCGGTCTAAAAACTCCCAATCAACTACAGCTGCTGAGTCCTGTAGTTCTGTTTAACATAGAAAATATGTATTTTCGGTTGACATAAAGGCTTAATCAAACAGGGAAAAAAGCAAAAAGCAAAACTGAGCTATGAGTAGTTAACAAACCTTTCCTTGTTGGAACAATGAAGTAACTGTTTTCAGCAGCATGTGGATCAAACATCATCAAGTACTTTTGTAGACGTAAGACATTGGTAAAGGTGTAATTCAAAAAGGTAACAATTTTTTCAACATGAATCTCAGTTAATTCAACTGGGTCAGGATTGAGCTCCAGGCTGACTGATACCTCTCCAGATCGAGTAAATATGGGAAAGGGGCAGACCTAAAAAAAAAGTTGAGAGTAGAGACAAGACTAAACGAAACAACATTCTAAAAATGAATATGTTCAATGCCACAGCCCACACATGTAAGGCTTTGAACTAAATAAATAAATTGAAATCAATCAAGATGTAATTTACCTTTGGGATGGGTTTCAAAGTTAGTATTCCAAATCCTTGCGCGCTATCCTCAGGAGCATATATAGAACGGCCTCTTGTATTTTGTTCGTCTGGTAGAGGACAAGTAAGAATCATGCTTACATGGTAAAGTAGGGCTTTTGAACCAGCCACAGGCCTGCAGTCAGTGAGGGCCTCTGCAACCTGAAATAAAGGAACAAACAATATTAGCCGTGCTTTTCAATAAAACTAGAATTAAAGAGAATTCTCCGTGCTAGCATACCCGTTTATAATAATATTGTCGACGCTTGGTTGTTCCTGGGCGGGGTTCATTTGAATCCCATGGGATTGAGGCCTCTTCAATTTCATCCGGTTCTAGAACTATGCCACCATTGGCTTCGTCATTAGTAAGACGAAAGCTTTCTTTCCCAATAGGCATGAGATTGTCATCAAGTTCCCGTGACACGTGTAATATCCGCACTGTCTCGATAGCTGCAAGCCGTTGGGCCAGAATAGGGTTTGGTACAGGAGGACCCTAAAAAAACAATAATTTGAATTATGTATAAATGGAAAATAACAACAGGTACAACATACAGAATTGCTGAATCATTACCTTAATGTTCTGCTTTACAGGGGAATTAATAGGCAGTCGTAATGTGCAAGTGTACAATTTGGTCCCATCATCAGCCATAGATTGTTGCATAGAATAGAGAGGGGTCAATTTTGTGAAGGTATCACTTGGTAACTTGGCACAGTAGCGATTGACCAGTGCAATGGCATTAGAGAGAGAAGCACAAGAACTCTTATCTGTTGATCCAGTTGGAGAGTAAGGTTTCACAAAGGAGTTATAGAGATCTGCCTCTTTCTCTTCCTCCTCCGAGCCCTCACGATTCGCACATTTCTTTAACAGTACCTAAAAAGAAAGAAGTGAGTTTACTACTTGTCCATGGAAAAAAGAAAGATAGATAAAAGGAAAATAAAATATAATACCTGCTCAATAGTCAAATATTCAGCAAGCTGACGTATAAATGCAGAGGAATGCCTCTTCTCTATCAGCAAAATGAAGTGAGCATCAGCGGCTCTGGCACGCCCTTTGCAATGTACATATGATCTGTATGACTGAGGTTCATCAAACCGCACAACTAGATTACATCGTGGAAGTTCTATTCCTTCCTCCAAAACTGATGTAGCTATGAGTAAATTACACTCATGCATTCGGAATCTGGGTGAAATATTATTAAGCTGTTTTAAATAAAGTTCCAAAGCAATTCTAATTGAAATACAAAAAACAAAAGTCTTTCATAATTACCTTTTTAATACTTCCTCTTGCTTGCGGTGCTCCTGTTCTGCATCTCTTGGTTCAGTCACAGGGTCAGCTGTTTTCTCTACAGTGTACTGGACTCCAAGATAATTTAATTTCTCATCATGTCTGCGAACCTCCTGAAAAGAAAATTATTAGATTACATTAATATTAGCAGTTTAAATTTTTATAAACATTTAGATACTTACATTTAAAAGATAGAAAAGGATTTTGGCAGTGAGGTGACTCCGAACAAAAATTACACCACACAGGATGTCTGGGTCAAGAGGATCAAATGGTCCCCTACGAGGTCCATCAGTGTTTCCTTTGCGCTGATATCTGATGCAGAAAGTTATTTTAAGTTCTCTTTAATAATTACTTATGAGATTACCACTAAAAGAAATGTCAGATATTGTAAGCCTAAGATAGTGCTTACCTGCCAGCTCTTCCCCTTCCTCTACCTCTAGATGATCTCCCCACAGCTAAAAAATGAAAGAGGCAAGATTAGATTTAAGATTATCATGTTAAAACTCTTCAGCAGACATTCTACTTTGTACAAAATACCTTTGAGAGGCTGCCTCGGAGGTAGATGAATTTCTGCCTGTTCCTCCTTGGCTACTTCTGCTGATTTAGTTTGTTCCTCTGCTGCTTTCTCTTCTGTAGGGGTTTCTGCCGGAGTAGGTGAGTTCTGAGGATTTGCAGAACCTTTCTCATCACTAGGCCTCCCCTCAATTGCTTTTAGAGGGTTGCTTCTTTGAGAGGTGCTTTCGGCAGAATCTTCACAATCTGCTTGTGTTGGTTTAAATTGTTTCAAAACTTCTAAAAGTCTCAAAACTTTTGGCGAGCAGAATTTATAAATCTTTTCTTTATCATCGTATTGCTGAAATTCATACTCACAAATTGCCCTGTAGAAAAAATATGTTGTATTAGAATTGATGCACCCTCTACTCCACTCAAGAGTCAACAGATTGACTAACCTGATTTTGATCATCACTGAGGAAACCATACACAATAGAAGATAGTGTCGTTCATATGGAGTCTTTATCTTTAGCTTTTCAATTTGGACTAGGAATATCAGAGCTGCTCGGTCAGCACAGTAGGGTCCTGATGAGGAGAATAGTCACAAGTTAGTCAATGACCAATCCTTAAATTTTATTTTAAAATTAGATTGAAAACATTTTAAGTTTCATTAACTCACCCAATGTTCTTAGAATGTCTAAGAATTCATTCATTATGTTTAATGGATCAATCTTGGGATCAGGTATACCCTGAAGGTCTTCTCTATATTCTTCATCATATATTTCAAATGGATCATAACGATGGTCATTTAGAAAAGTAAGAGCTTCTTCAATTTGTTGGTAAAGATTGTTATCTATGTCCCCAGGTTCATGAATAGCACATTCCAAGACTCGTTCAGTGGGGTGCGTGCTAAATCTTCTCAACAAGACCATTTTTTTAAAATATTTGCAAAATAACAGTAAAACAGAAAAAAAAAACACTACTTTAAAAGAAATACCTTAATAATGAGACTATTTCACTGGCTGTTTCCACAGAAGAGTGTAGAGCTGTTTCAAGTTGATTAAGAGCCCACTCAAGCCTACTTGGGTCACAGCCTGAACTGAAAAGGGCTGGAGTGAGCCCCAACAGCCGAGGCTTGAATCCATTCAATGATCCATATATTTTCATTAACTAGAAAAATGATGGAAAGGGAATGAAAATGTATTAAATAATTTTGGTTTAGATTGTAAACAGAAGAAGTTGTAGTTTACAAAAAAGAAACAAAATTAACAATTTAGAAAAGAAAACATACTTGCTGTAATGGATTATTGACATTCATCACAAGCTGACACTGATCAATTATGAGCAGGTTGACACAACTGAGGTTCACAAAACCTTCATTTAAAGCGTTCATACAAATGTCGGGCGTCATCACCAGAACCTGTAGTAAAATTAATTTAATTAGATTAGATTATTTTTTAAAAAGCACAAAGTGATAATTTTAAGAACATCAATTTGTACTGACCTGCTTATTAGTTTGAAGTTTCTGAAAATTCTTAGGGTCCCATTCAGTAAACCCCTGAACAGAGAGGTCTGTGAGATATTCTAAATAAGTTGCCATGTAAGAAACAACATTTGCACTGTGCGCCAAATAAATTGTGTACTTTTTATATCTGTAACAATAACAACAATAATGAATGCATAATGTTACTATGATACTATTTAAACACTAATGTGTATTATAATGTACCCATCCAAATTTTGATTATTTGGAGGAAAATAAAAAATAAAAGTTACTGACTTGCGCACTTCAATTGCAGATTCAACAATGAGTTTTGATGTGATAAATATTTTGGCGGTCCCGGTCCCAAGGCATATAATGATATTGTGATCTCGAGCATTATCGAGTAGTTCCACCTGTTCAGGATAAGCGAGAAACGGATAGACAAGTTTTAAAGTAAATCAAATATATCACTGAAGACTAGAATTCTTATATTTAATACCTGGTACTCCCGGGGAGTGAATGATTTGGTGCAGACATTGTCATTGAAATGGTAAGCCATGAGATTTACTGCAAAAAAACAGAATATGCAAAATATTCAAAATACAATTTTCAGCAAAATTGAGAAACAGTCAATGGGGTTGGAACAAACAAAAGAAAAGGAAGAAGCGTGTTTCACTACGACAAGATATGCAACCAGCTCCATTCACACACAATTCTTTTATACGCAAAATGAAAGTTTATCGCGATTGCGCTAAAATAAGGACCACCAAATGAGAGAAGCGCGTCAATTTGTTTACATTTTTTCATCCACTGTGTTCTAACCGGATGAGGTTAAGCTACAACGAAATAGTGCTATACATTTTATTATGTTTTGGTATTACGTCATATACTTGAGGAGTTTGATGTTGGAAAAGTAGAGAAAGGGTATAGATGATGGATTGGGTCGGACAAAGACAGGCAGCAGTGACCCACAGAAAAGAAAATAGTTTTGTTTGGGTGGACAGACGAGACTCGTTCGGCACCGGGCGAGTGTTTAGAGCTGTTGCAAGTAAACAATAGCAGACAAAACCCAGACCGATATTCTGCAGGTCACCGCCGCTTCTCCGCTGCGAGCCAAGACGCACAGAAGTCGAGATTGGTCAACCTTTACTTTAAGTTGAAAATGAAAATATATCACAATTTGCAAATACGGCAGAAGAGCCGTAAAAAAGGCATTAATTTTGGATCTGGGTTGTTGTACAGCTGATTGTGAGTTGACAGAAGGCTGTGCAGCATGTGCACCAACCCTCAGTTCCAAGACAGGATATTTTAAAGAAGCATTCTCTCCAATTTACTGGGGAGTCGTACAAAGCTAGATATGTTCTATATTTTCTGACAATACTTTCAAGTCAAGCCGCTGATTATTTGTTTTGCCGACGAGCAGAATCTAACGGATCGATGGAGATGGCCGGTCTTGGGGCTGTGCGGGGGCCTCACACTAGAACACACCCGTGCACAGCAGCAGACGAAACGAGCGAAGTCCTAAGGTCCCAAAGTTGTAGTGAAGCATAAAATTGCCAGGGGAATCGTAGGAAATAACCGAGGCATTGCATCCGAGCGTACGCGACCGTGGAGTGCATATCAGTATGCAGCTTTTGGCGCCGAGTAGAATGTTCTCGCACTCGGGGCATTTGTCAAACAGTGGCCGGGCACTTGTGTCGTCTGCTAGAGCAGCAGACAGACTCAAACAAGCGTGCCTGGCGACACCAATGACAACTCAGACCTCTGCCTTCCACTGCTGCACGGTAAGAGCGCTACGATAACTTTCTTATGTCATTTGCATTAGTGTTGAATTAGAAATCTTTTGCTTTGCATTTTCTCTAAGAGCTACTTGAAACATTGGGGGTGGGGGAAAGGGAGGGGGGGGGGCGATAAAATGTAATCAGGGTTCGCACGTACAGTTCTTATCCATTACGCGGCAAAGCGTAATCTTTACCTCTCCTCTCTAAAGGGAGAGCGATGACGAGTCGGAGCCGGGCGTCCACGCGGGGAGGTGGTGAGGGGAGGGGGGTACTGGCGAGACGAACAATAATAATCATTAGCAGGTACT